TAAATACGGCACCGAGAGCTTTCTCGGTCTGTAGCTTGGTCTTCTCCGCCGCGAGCTGATCGAGGAGCGACCACGGAACGTGCGCATCTCGTGTCCGGCGCTGCTGCCCCGATGTCTCGACTTTCTTCTTCTTCTTCGTCTTCTTCGTCTTCTTCAGCACAATATCTGTCGCTGGCGGCGGATCGACGCTGGTCGACCTCTCGCTCGCCATAGCGTGCGGGGGCGGGGGGACCTGTTGCAAGGCTTGGTGCACGCCGTTGTACGTTTTTGTAAACGTATCCAGAAGCGGCATCAACATCGTCTGTGCTTGCTCCAGCTGCGCCGTTGACGACACGAGCGCGACTTGCTCGGTCAGCGCCGTCACAGCGCTCTTGTTTGCTTGAAATTCCTTGGAAAAAGCGAGCAAATTCGAACTGCCGATGCAAAATACCGTGCTCTCTCGAGCGATCGCGTGCAGTCGCACCTTGCCTTCCTTTGTGCACGGCTTGACGTGCCATTTGCGGCGCTCGTCGGCAATATTCTGCTGCCGCTGCCGCGCGCGCAGGATCGCCATGTGATGCATATCTCACTACGATATACGACACTAGTCAACCTGTCCTTTTTCGTAAAGAAAAACCTTCCGTTGAAAACACATGCATCCTCGTGAGTGGAAACCGCCGTCCGGCGCTGGCGAGAACCACTCGGATCCAACGGCCTAAAGAAACGGAGAGTCAAGGAGTTGACGACGGAGGAGTTGCGATCTTTACACCAAAAACTTCTCAAAACTATAATCAGGGTCCAGTTGTGAATTGGAACGCCCGAGATGCTCATCCGGCTCAACGTTGGCGGCCGCATCTTCTGCACGTCGGAAGCAACGCTGACCAAGGTCCGAGACAGCTACTTCGAGGTGCTTTTGCGCGGTAACTGGCAGCCGGACGCCGACGGCGCGTACTTTCTGGACTTGGACCCAACGTGCTTTGAGCACATTTTGAACCACTTGCGCTGTGACGCACCGCTGCTTGCCGGCCTCGCACCGCACGAGATCGTCCACGTCTCGCGCCAGCTAGAGTTCCTCCAGCTGCCGCTGCCCGTGCCGCTGGATCGGATGTGGGCACCGTCCGACGCCAACATGAAGCTCGTGCACACCAACTACTGTCAGACGGTCGCCGTCACGATGAAGTCGGTCCAGCGCTCGGTGCTCGCGTTGGTGCCAAGCGACCGATTTGCAGTGCGCATTGACGTCCTGGTGCTCTCTTTTGCGATCGGCTTTACGTCCAAAGACGCGTTTGATGCGACGCAGCCCCTTTACGCGAATGCTGCAGTCAGTGACGCCAGGGGCTGCTTCCTTACCACCAAGAGGTTGCCCGACTATCTGAGTCGCGGTCACGTCATCGTCGCCCAGTACGACCGAGACACGCAAAAGATCACATTTGATGTGAACGGCAAGCGCGTCGACAGTGCAAGCATCGACTCGATGCTGCCACCGACAACCGAGCTTTTTCCATTTGTCTCGTTTAACGCATATACGCGTCCAGACCAGGATCACAGCGCGTACCACGGGCAGGTCACGCTTGTACCCCTGCCGTCGGCGTAGGTCTCACGGATCAAGGCGGCAAGGGCTAGGTTTTTGAGAACTTCCATAATGTTAGTACAATGTCGTTGCTTGCAAACGCATATATCGAGCGAGCGTACCCAAGACTACTACACTGTAGCCTGATGAATAATAGTAGTACTGTAAACTGCAATTGGTCTTGCAAGCGCAGGAATAACAATACATCACAAGACCTATTCACTTAACTGACACTTCGTGAGAACCGACTCGCTGCAAAAGATGATTGTCGTGTGATAAAAGGTCGTCAGGATCAGCCACCGTGGGGCGGCCGTCAGAAAGAAGAAGAGGAAGATACCACCAGCGCAGCCGACGACGTGCTCAGTGCAACTCACATCGGGTCCCCAGACAACAGCAAACCTTACGCTCATCCACTGCCACGTTGCGAGCACGATAGCACTATCGAAAGCGCCTTGAACCGCAGTAGAAAAAGAGCTGGTGTACAAGACGCCAAGCACGACGCCGACGATGGAGCGCACGACGAAGCGAGGGTGGTCCTCGCAGCTCGAGTAGTGCCGACGACTCAAGTCGTACGTGCCAGCAATGCACTGCGACCGCCGCGCAAACTGGTTGTGAAGCCAGACGTCAGCGATGAGCAATGGCCGCGTACACGCATACAAGACTCGCCACGGGTACCAATACGGAGCAGATTGCTGCGTGAATAGGCGCAAGACATTGCCTCGATGTTAAGAACCACGAGTCTTAGCATGACAGCATCAATCACCAACAAGTTATACTACATTGCTGCGTAGCTGCCTGGCAGAAAGGGTAATCCAATACTAGTTTTAGTTGTCGCCGATCGGTTTTCGACGCTTAAATACGGCACCGAGAGCTTTCTCGGTCTGTAGCTTGGTCTTCTCCGCCGCGAGCTGATCGAGGAGCGACCACGGAACGTGCGCATCTCGTGTCCGGCGCTGCTGCCCCGGTGTCTCGACCTTCTTCTTCTTCTTCGTCTTCTTCAGCACAATATCTGTCGCTGGCGGCGGATCGACGCTGGTCGACCTCTCGCTCG